TGCCAGCCTCACGCCAGTCCAGCGACCTTCCCATCTTTTTTTTGGGTTTACTATCGGGTTAGTGTACAGTAAGTAGGCGAAATTTTGTTGTGATGTCGCCAAGTTTAATGCACGAATGAATGCTCATTGACGATAATGTGAACACGGCAATTGGTAATTTTCTGGTTGATCAACTATTCTTTGAAACTGACATTAAAAAATTCCCAAGAGTACTACATATAATATTATTGATCTATTTATAAGGTTTGAATAGTAGGCGTTGACTGACTGACTGCACCCTAGATTTTGATTGACTGACGCCCGACACGTGACAATCGATGGGATTTGTTTTTAGCTGACTAACAAACAGACTAAATAAGAGAAATTGTGGGTATATTTCAAGCTTGCGAGTGAATCGAGTCGGCGGGGAATAATTGAACCTGAACCATCTAAGAAGTAGTTGTTACGCATTCTACCATTGAATAGACCGACGCCCTTACTCTTATTTTCACCTTTATAAATACCCAATATGACTTATTATCACACTAGAAGGCATTGTGAAAATATGGTTTATTGGTTTAAGCCAGTGATTTTCAAGGTATAGTCTCTGGGTTACTCTAAGCATAGGCAACCCAAACAAAGGACCGAATTTAGCGGACGTAATAACCTTGATCTGCCAATCATACGAGCCCATAGTAAAAACGCAGAAATAATATAGGTCCAGTACACGAATTACATTGCATACTCCATTATTAAGAGGTAGTGTTTGAATGCCGTCGGGATAAAAGGCTTATAGGAAACTTGTACATGTGGAGGAGGATTGTCTTTACGAAGGTGTGCAGCCATTGTTAACGGATATATGTCCGAGAAGATATATCGTTCCTGTTTTAAGTTCATAGGATCTGTAGAGCAGGGAATGGGATACTAAACACCACTAAACATACAATTATCTGAGTGGGTTTATGTATAGGAATAGGTCTGAACTATCACTGAAGATTCCAATAAGGAATTAAAAAGTTCTCTTGGGAGGAGACATACGAGAAAGTTACTCCGTAAGACTATTTTTCAACATTATAGAAGAATTTCAAATTATGCGCATTTACTATATGCTCATTTGATTGGCTGATCAAGATGATTACATCTTCCGTTGGGGGTCGCTGTAGTTTAGAATTAGCAGTCCTGGGTTCGAATCCTGGTTCATCTATTTCGGCCTCTGCAAACTGGGTAGCATCCTATCAACTTTTTTTCACAATAACTGAACGGCTGTTAGCTCAGTATTTGAGAAATCTATTCCGAGTAACTGTGTACTAACTAGCTGGACTGATTAGCTTGGTGAACTTATTGTTACATTTTGTGTATATTAGATGTGTACCTACACTGGTTAATTTTGTCTTTACTGACGTTTCCGTTAATAACAATATATGTGGTTTGTGAAATATTGATATTTGAGGTGTGACTCGATGATCTAGGCAAGTCGATTTCTAACCATTAGGTTAGTGTTTTTCAACACCCCACCCCCGAGATTTGAGCAGCCAGTATTACTAGCTTTCACATACAACAGGTATGGTTTACTGCCCCAACTACATCGAAATGCAAATAGTTCTTTCCGGGGTTCGAACCTGTAACCTATTAGTTGAAAGTCGAATACTTAAACCAGGGAATCTCAATTCTAATTTCTCTAAAATCCAAAAAAAATATCCGTGCTAAGTATAATGTTTGGTTATCCCCTCCACAGCGTCTCAAGGATTGACGTGTTACCAAGAAATAATCTAGCTCACTTAGAATATGCAGATGATATATGCAGTGAAGATACGATCAATACACCCTCCTCCTAGTCTAAAGCCTGCCTGGTTCTCTCGTGTTTGTGCCTCCCTAGCACCACTTAGTCTACTCATGATTATTGAGCCTAGGACTTTAGATACTATATTGTCAAGCTAATCCCTCTGCGATTATCACAGGAAGACTTGTCTCCCTTCTTGTATATGGGGATAATCAGTGACTTACACCAACCCAATGGGACTTCCTCTGATTCCCAGACGCTACCTAGTACCTCAGTTAATGCAGACAGTAAACTGTCTCCACCGTACTTAAATACCTCGGGACCTGATGGAATGATTCCGGAGGTATTTAAGTACGGTGGAGACAGTTTACTGTCTGCATTAACTGAGGTACTAGGTAGCGTCTGGGAATCAGAGGAAGTCCCATTGGGTTGGTGTAAGTCACTGATTATCCCCATATACAAGAAGGGAGACAAGTCTTCCTGTGATAATCACAGAGGGATTAGCTTGACTAATATAGTATCTAAAGTCCTAGGCTCAATAATCATGCGTAGACTGAGTGGTGCTCGGGAAGCACAACCACGAGAGAGCCAGGCAGGCTTTAGACCAGGAAGAGGGTGTATTGATCATATCTTCACCCTCCGACAGATTCTAGAACATAGAGATTCCCACCGGCGTCCAACAGTCATTATATTTCTTGACCTAAAGGCGGAATTCGACTCTGTCGACCGAGAAGTACTTTGGAGATTCTTGGCTGTAAAGGGAACTCCGAGAAAATATATTGCACTGATTAAGGCACTCTACTCGTACTCATACAGCCAGATGAGGGCTTACGGCGAGCTGTCATCTGAACTGATGACGACCAGTGGTGTCCGTCAAGGATACCCATTATCCCCTTTTCTATTCAACTTCATCATAGATGTGTTAATGGACTTAACCCTAGGTGACTTCAGCGACTCAGGGATTGACTTGCTACCGGGGAATAATCTCGTTGACTTGGAATATGCAGACGATATAGTCCTTCTACGCGACGACTCTGACAAAATGCAGAGTCTTCTAATCACCTTGAGCCGCAATCTACGAATGTTTGGTGTGCGATTCGCTCCCGCCAAATGCAAGATGATGTTACAGGACTGGACTGCATTGACTCACTCTTAGCTTAAAGACAGAGGAGAGTGAAGGAGTTGCTGAGCGTGTTGACCACTTCACTTATTTGTGGAGTTGCACCAGCCAACTCCAACGAGTTGATTGATCTCTGACAAAATCAAGACTCGTTTGGCATATGGCCGCTATCTTGTACCATCTCTGGCTTAGTAGACGTGATATCTCGCTCGCTGGCTATCGACCGAATGGGCTGTGTACTGCACAGCAACAGTCCGCTCTGTCGCTGTGATTGAGACATGACCATTGAAAGTGAAAGACATGAAAAGCCTTGCTAGCTTTCTTTGATCATAGATGTCTCCGTTTTATCTCCCATGTTAGGAGGTGGTTTTATAGGGTGAGTAATATTGAAGTTAGGCGTCGAGTGCTAGGTAATTGGGAGGGGAAATCAATTGACGAGGTTGTGAAATTACATTGATTGAGACGGTTAGTTCCAATTGGAACTAGGGTTTCAGTGACACATCTCCATTTCAATCTGTTCTCTGGCATCACTTTTAGTCTGGCATTGCCTCTTCACATAATCTTCTTCATGTCATCCTCCAATAGCCAACCTGTTACTCCCCGTTGCAACTCAAGGGACTGGCGTATGACTCGTATCACTTGGAAGTCTTCTTAGTGTATATCTAATCAGTCTCCATATCTTTCTGTGTATTTGTTGGGTAGGCAATATATTGTCCTCTAGTTCTGTGCCTGTCATAGTTCCCTATATTTTTATTTTTATTTTAGATTTTCCCGTCGATTAATTAGACCGATGTGCTCGGTCTCAGGTTGACATGTCTGTTGGCTTCTTGTGCGGATGTTTCGACGATGTCTGGGCATGTAATTAGAAGTTAATTGGTGGTGGATGGTGATTAGCAATGGCCCAATTGGTGGTCTAGTGGATGACACACTTCGGCGTTTAAAATTATGGGCACTGGGTTCGAGCGTCAGTGGGAACATCATCAGTCACTCACTGTGGAATGCAGATACATCCAGCTAGTGACGAGTCCCAAATGGGATGAAATGCGCACATTATCCTGGATTCCACTGCTAGTCACCATCCAGCAATTAACTTATAGTTTCTTCCGCATAGCCTACTTTTTCCGGTTATCCGACTTAACTGAACCTTAATCTATCTGTCTGTCTGTTTTCGACATAGAACTTTGCACCCAGGTGTGGCAGTTCGAGTCGCCACACTCCCCCCATGTACCACACAATGCAAGAGAAGAAAGTAAAAAGAAATGCATAATAGAGACAGTAAACAGAGGTGTGAGACAAAGGAATAGTAATAACGAGGAACAGTATAATTTCATTGGAAATCGAAAGTCACAAGGAGCGGATGCATCTGCACCAGTCATTGAGAACGATGAGTTTGAGCCATATCACCGATTGTTTCCAACCACTGATTTTTACCGTCCCGAGGACCCCAACCAGATTGGTAGTCTACACCTTTCTACGTGGCTTAAACTAACTGTTGTGTATTTCATTGAGTGATGAAGCCATGTTTTGGTTTGACCGCCGCTGGCTAGCTCTTTTCTAGCCTGACCCTATGTCAGCTAACATTACCCATTGTCGAGGAAGGCGACGACTATACAGGTATGCGTAATACATGTCCAAACCATCTCAGTCTATGTAACTTCACAGCCTCGTTGGTTGATTCACCGATGTCTAACCTCAATATTTCTCACCTTATTATACCACTTCAGACGAGAGATAGAACGTAGGCACCTATGATCAAAGACAGTTAACTGGCCTTTTCATGTCTTCCACCCTCAATGGCCTAGTCTCACAGCTAGCCATAAAGGAGGACGGAGAGGACTGATGAGCAGTACATCCGTCCTTTGGTCAATAACCAGCCAGTCGGATATCACGTCTACTAAGCCAGAGACGGCGTAACCTGGCATATGCGAAACTAGCCCCCTCTGTATTCGTGCGGAGATTTCGTCTGAACCTTACCTTATATATGATTATTCTTAAAATCTGAATAAAAATTTTGGTAAATCTATACAATGAATTTAAAATGATATTTTTGTCTTTTGCATCCACATTCCATATTCAATTCACTTTTCTTATACCTATTTCTTATTTTGATATATATATTAGCCAAATTCGTACATATCATATACCAATTTCATAAATCACATAAAGTGGATCCATCATCAAGAGAGTCTTCAGCGATGAGTGCTTTCTCGCCTAGCTCGATTAACGACACCAGACATTCACCTATTCGACGTCGGATATCGAATGGATTTACTTGTTCAATGGCGACGACGACAACAACAACAACAACACCGACATCAAAACTTATTTCAACTAATTGTTGTCTTGATATATTATCTGGGTTATCGGATTCAGATCAACTACCACGGCTGCGAATACGACTACAACTACCGTCTGTTGTTCTAAAGAAAATGATGAAATCTCATCAAAACCGGAACGATATAGCTTGAAACGACCACCACCGCCACCAGATTCGCCAAGTTCGTTTCCATCCTCTCCAGCTAAACTTTCTTACAATTTTCATCCTTCATCAAGTCCTCCACTACTGATATCTGAAGTTCCACCGAATAGCTGTTGTACGCGTACAACACAAATTCATCCACAAATACGTCGACCATCTGATTCTACACTGATAACGAATCCTGTGAATACTGCTGTCAGTTTATCATGTTCAAATAACAACAATGGTAATGGTAATAATAATAATAATAAAAATTCAAGTGCATTTTATGCTATTTCTATGCAAGATAATGCCAACTCTTTACAAACACAACGATCTCTTCAGTCAACTTTTGATACTACAAATATGCCTGTTTCTAATGGTATTATGTTATCTCGACCACTGGATTCATTTGTTGTTACATCTCAATCAATGACAAATGGTGGTTATCATCGATCAATGTCTCATCAACATCAACATCCTCATCATCATTTTCATCAGTCTGACCAACACCAGCAACACCACCAACAACAAAATCATACATCGTTTACTTCTTCTCTATCCTGTTCCTCCTCTCCACATCACCATCATCATCATCATCCTCAACAGACATGTTCCAGTCAACAACAAAATCAACGTAATGCTGTTGTAACTAAAGAGAATCCTTTCCTGTGTACACATCCTTATCTTGGTTTATTGGTTACTTCTGGTCCAGTGATGATGAATGGTTTATGCGCGCATACACCGCCTAGTGGCACTAGTGGTGCCAGCGGTGGTAGTGGAAATGTTCCACTTCTTCTTAACAGTTCCGGTTGTTCATCTAGTGGCAAATCGACACCACGTCAACCAGCAAAAAAGCGCCCAGAGGCTAGAACACCTACAATTGATGGTTCATGTGATGAAATGCCATTAGGTGGCTGTGGTGGCGGTCCTTCATCGTCGAATACACTTTCATCAATGTGTAATTTTGATGATTCACATTCTCATTTATCAACATCATCTCTGGAGTCAACAACAAATACATTTATGGTACATCATAATACACCATTTGGTAAGTTTGTTTTTCTGAAAAAAATGTGCTTTCATACACAGTGTGTGTGTTGCTCTTGATCATATTCGTTAATTCCAAGTAATAACAAGTTCCAGGATTTCATTATGATGAGCTGAACATCGGTTAAAAAGAATCATTGGGAATACTGGACAGTCAGCTGTTTCGTTCCCCCGGTTTGGGACTCCTCTTCGTCAGTACTCATCCACCTCTAGGATTCGAACCTAGGACCTTCAGCTACACAAAGCAAGCGAGTGAGCTAGCTTGTAGACCATTAGTCAGCCATTGGGATGGGACCCGATCTAACTCATGAATTCCAGCTTCTGTCAATTCATGATACACCGCGACTGGCACTATCCGCCAGTGTTATCAGTGGCGAGTATATTTGTCCTCACACCCACCCGACCTGCTGGTGTGTGGACCCCTGTGGTGATGGTCACGACTTCCCACTAGAACCCAAGTAACTACCTACCTAGCTAGCTAGCTAAATAGGGGAGCCAGTCACATCGCTAGTGAACATCTGATTGATATTCAACTCTTGGTTTGCAGGGATTTGATTTGATTGGTTACAAGACTTCATTCATCACGAACTGACACATGGGTTAGAGAACCATGGGAAAATCAGCTGGGGGAGTACTTGGTAGGTGTTTCGTCCTAGTTTTCGGGTCACCACCGCCATGATTCGAGCCTAGGTGTCGGTGTTCACACAGGGTATATATATGTATATACAAACTTGCTTCTGTCTGTCTCGATTCAACATAGAACTCGCCACCGAAGTGCACCACTTCGAGTTCCCACCTTCCAAGTAGCACACACAAAGGTAGACAAGAAGATGATGAGTGGAGAGAATCAATAGAGTTTTGACAAGTATGAGAGTGAAACACAGAATGGGTAATGGTAGAAAGGAATATGAAAGATTACAGAGACTGAATACTATATCTGCGCTAGCCATTGACAACGATTTCGAGTCATGTTACACCTTTTGTCTTCAGCCATTGATGTTGATTTTCAGAGTCCCGAGGGCCCCAACCCGGAAGTCTGAATCTCCCTACCTACCTGACTCAGTTTAATTGTCAAAGATTTCATGGATTGATGACATAATTTTGTTCGGCCACCACTTACTCTCTTCCAACCTGTACCTCTGTATCAGCTAGTAATGCCCGTCGATGTGGGGGGAAGCGATGGTTAGGCATGCGCACCAGCACCTGACCTAGCCATCTCAATCTATGTAACTTTATAGCCTGGTCGATTGATTTTCCCTGTTTGACTGCTCAACAGTCTACGCCTAACGTCAACATTACTTACGCCTACCTTATTATACCACCTAACGTGAGAAAGAGATCGTAGACATCTATGATCAAAAATAACAGTCAACCTTTTCATGTCTTCAACTCGTATTGGCCATGTTTCAGAGCCATCTAGAGAAGGACGGAGCGAACTGGTGAGCAGTACACACGTCTCTTGTTTGATAGGCGGATGTCACGCGCCTACGCCAGAGATGGTGTAGGTTAGCGGAAGACACTTGATCTATAGATTTAGATCAATATAAACCTACTATATCAGTACCTGTTCGCTTAATTAGCAATTCACAGCTCTTCCGTTGATTTTATTTCAGATTGTTGATTAGTCTTTGCTGCATTAATCTAACTCGTCGTTCTATATCTAGTGAGAATTTAAAGAAAAAAAGAAACAATTTTGATTCGCCATAATAACAAACACGTTAACTGTGTCTAGATGGTATTGTTGTTTTAGATACAATTAATTATTCGTATGAAAATGTGTCGGTACGACCATTTTATGTGTTTGTGTGTGTGTGACAAACTTCACACCAATGTAAGTGGTGTGTGTAGAATCTAAGCTTAGAGTGTTTGAGGTTGTGTTGCTAGTTGGTTGTTTAAACGCTCCCGATCAGTGGTAGCGGTCATGGGTCCGAATCCTGCTACGATTTTTACCTGTGTACAACTCCTCTATCGCAGGCCAAGCCAAGAGCCACGGCATAGCATTTGGAGGGTTGACTATCCCGTCGGAGACGTAACAGCCAATGGCACCCCCCCTCGTCATACCATAACATCTATATCAGGGACACGTGCGCACTGGAGCCAGCCTTAAACCTGACTCATGGACTGAGATCCCGACCTCCAATCCACACCCCCTTGCACAAGACACCACTTCAGACTGGCCTCGACTAACAGTTGCCATTACCGTTGCCTCGTGTTTCGGGGTACTAGTCCTCTGCAACCACCTGCTAGCCAGTTGTTATTGGCCCCGCTCCTCTCATCAAGAATCCGACTGAACTTGGCCCCGCCGATATCCCGTATACCGCCATAATAACAATCCAAAGGACGGCACGGCTGTTTCATCAAGACTGAGCAGCCAGACGCGAATGTTGTCTCATGTGGCGGCAGATCTTCGCAGAGGCTTGGTGTGCCTACCGATAAGCCCCACCCAACGGTCGCCGCGCCTGCCGCATGTAACTTTATCTCTGTCCCGCCATTACCCATGCCTGGGTGTGTTTCTTCACGTTGATACTCAGAGCACTGGGTGGGACGAGATGGTGAGGCGTTTGGTTACCTCAATAGAGTCATAGTTACTCCAGCGGTCATTGGTCCGAATCCTACTACATCTACTGACATTAGGTAGCTAGCCATTAACCCTTTGTACAGTTAGTGTGGCTCATTTTGTCAACAGCAAGTAATTGGTTGTCATGTAAGATTTGTTTTAATTTTGTTATGCGTAGGTCGAACTAGTAGAGTTATTCTGTAATAAGTTAACAAAGTTTTTTATCGACTGTGGTGGTGATTATGACATCTGTTATGCCCCTCTACACCTACCTAATCACTGGTACCTCGAAGTGTTATTTATGTTAACAGAATTAGGATTGGATTGGGCAGCAGTTTATAGTAGCAAGACTGAATTAAACTGCTTTAATAGGTCAGGTGAGTTGCAGAACCATTGGAAACCAGCTGGGAGTGTACTGGATCGCCAGCCGTTTCATCCTTCTTATTTTTGAAATCAGTATCGCAGACCTCCTTAGATTACGCGAGGTGTGTGCTCTTTGACCCACTTCATTCACAGTGGGACGAAATTGAGAATGGCCATCCCATGAATTCTAATTTCTATCAATTCGTGATTTTTACCGCCACCGATAGCCAGCCAATGCCACATCACAGTGGGTACTTATGCACTTACACCCTGCTTGGTGTTGGATCCCACTGATCATAGCTGACTTGTCATTAATACTGTCTTTTGTACACGCAATCATTTTTATTGGCAGGTGTATAATCAGTTCAGTGTTCATTGTAATCATGTTCTAACAAACGTTGATCTCTATATATACTAAGTTGTTAATATATATGCTGTAGTAAAACCGACTCCGATTATTCCAACAATTGAAGCCTACTTTCAGCCTGTTTTATTCATTTGTGTAAATGTTGAATACTCAAAATATTCTTGCATAATACATGCATATCTTAGGCGTTATGATAGAGGATCTGTGACTGGTGGGTTTTGAGGTGCTTGACTTTTATACCAGCCATTGGATTCGAGCCGGTTCAAGCCCATTCCTACCTATCATGAATGTTTAGGCAATGGAGTAGTATTACTAGCCCTCATATTTAATGGGTATAGTTGATGACCTACTGCATGAAAATACAACTGGGTTAATGAATATGTTCTAAACTGACTTACTGACTGAGTGACTCTCGACATAGAACTTTACAGCACAGTGCAGCAGTTCAATTGGTGCCACACTCTCTATGTAACCTACAATTCAGAGAAAAGAGAAAGAAAAGAACTACATTTTCCACAAATGCACAGGAGAAAGAATAGTAAAATGGCAAAAAAGAGGAGACGTAGCGGAGATTACAAAGAATGTGAACGTTTGTGAGCCATATCATCAATAGTCAGTCTCCAGCTATTGGTTCTTCTACTTCTTGGCGTCTCTGGGACCCTTGCCAGCCTGACAGTCTATCTAAACCTCCCTGTATGTGTCTGCCTTAAACACCAGATATCAAAGACTATATGGATGGATTCTAGGTTTCGGTTTAATCACCTTGATCTCTTTTCCAATTCCACCCCCATCTCCCCCAACCCCATGGTGTACAACTTCACCATGTATCTTTAAATTGAGAGTCAGTGTAATTCAGTCCTTCTGCATCATCTTACATTTGACGAGGACGCGCATCTTATGGCAAACATTCTCCCAAACTTCTGCTCAAGGTGTTCAAAAGACTCGATTTTTTGTCAACGTCTCAACATACTATAAAGTCAACAAGACTGTTTCCCAGTAACTAGTCAATCCTTAAGACGTTAGTGTCAGCTGGGGTCATTTCGATTAGCAGTATATCTATGATTTAATTAAACAAAAATGAGGACAGTGGACATTGCTGTGACACGAACAGCACTATTTGGCGCATAGTTACTTCAGTTCTACCTGAGTGTCTTTATTGAACGCCATGTAGTTTTTCAGCACTCCTTTCATAGCTAAACCTTGCCACAACACCTCTTCCTTCCTCTTCGGAGTTAAATGCTGACGTTCTAAATTGATATTCACTTAATTGTGTCAGTCCTCACGGGGTTGATCGATCGCTGACGAAATTTCAGCACACAGGAGGCTCATTTAACTCACGCCAACTTACACTATCTCTGTCTTGGTAGACGTGATATTCCGCTGACTATCGACGTGTGTACTGCACAGCAGCAGTTCGCTCCGTTCTCCTTCATCGCTGTGATTGAGACATGGCCATTGAAAGTGGAAGACATGAAAAGTCTGACTAGCTGTCTTTGATTATGTGTCTCCATCCTATCTCCCATGTTAGGAGGTGATATAGTAGGGTGAGTAATATTGAGGTTAGGCTTCGGTCTAGTGCTAGGTGAGTTGTAGGGGAAATCAATGGACGAGGTTGTGAAGTTATAACGATCGAGATGGTTAGGACATGTGTTGCGCATACCTAGCCACCGATCATCTTCCTCGACGAAGAGCGATATTAGCCGCTGAAATAGGATTGATCAGGTTGGAAAAGAGCTAGTAGTGGGTGGTCAAACGAAAACATGGCTTCATCAGTCAATGAAATCCATAACAGTCAGTTTAAGCCGCCAGCCAGCCACATAGGGAGGTGTAGACTGCTAGTGTGATGTTGGTTTCCTCAAGATGGTAAAAACCAATGAAAGCTGGAGGCAATTGGTGATATGGCTCAAACTTCGCCTTCTCAATGGCTGGCGCAGATATATCCACTCTTTGCAATTTATAATATCCAATAGAACTATATTATTCCTACATATTACTATCATTTTTCCCTCACTCTTTTGTTTATTATCTCTGTTTTGTTGAGTTTGCCTTTACTTTCATCTCTTGCTTTGTTTAGTACATCGAGGGAGAGTAGCAACAATACTAGTGTGAAGTGTTTACCATATTCAATAGATAACGTGTATTTTATTACGTAACAATGTATTACAATTTATTACTTATTATTATTATTATCATATATTTTCTTTATTCTATTCATTCCACGCATATATTTCTATTCGCAGTTCCAGTGCATGGTAGATCTGGTCGACCTAGTTCTACAGAATTGATTCATCCAAGCTTAGGCGGTTATAATATAAACAGTAATCCTGGTTCTAATAGTCTTTCATCATCCAACTCCTCCTCCTCCGCCTCGTCCTCATCTGCGTCATCTTCATCAGCCACGACGACGACGACGTCGTCGACAACAGCAACAACAACACCAACATCTATAGTAACGAAAACAACAACCAACTCATTGAACAGCTCACCAGGAAAACAAATTTCTGACAAGTATCAGGTGAATTCAGTGACTGGCAGTGATAGTGGTCGTGTTAATCATCATCATCTGTCGTCTACAAAACCGGATCATAGCAATACTAATGGAGACGAAGAAGAAGAAGGCGAAATGGATCAAGAATTGGTTGATATTATGGTTGGTCTGAACGGTGTCGGTGGTGGTATTGGTGGTGAATCGAAGTTTCCTTTTTCATCGAGTCATACAAATAACTTATCGATTGGAGGAGGACAACATCGACACCATTCCCTGTTGACGAATAATCATCATCCGCATCCTCTGCTTGGTGGTAATGACATTGGTGCTAGTCCTGATGGTCGACGAGTTATAGCTGCTATGGTTGCGGCTTTGGCAAATGTCAGTAATTCTCCACTGCTGGATGGGTATGTTTTTAAAGCTTTTTTTTAAAATATGGTAATTGTGTTTGAAGGACATGATGCATTGCTTTTCCAGGATTTTAGCGCAGAATGATGCTCGATAAGGCTTCATGTGCTTTTGGAAGTATGTGGGTGGTTGTTACTTCTCGGCTGCACACATGTGGAAAATGATTGATTCTTTGGGTACCTGAAACGGAAAGAGTGTTGCGTGACCACAGGGCCCAGCGGCCTGTATGAACTGGTTTCTTAGTTTGGTTCCGTATTAGTAAACTTACCACTGGTTACGGACCACCGTAGGTCGGAAAAGTCGGGGTGTACAATTTTTGGGGTCGACCTTTTCTAACCCATTCTCTCCGGAGTGGAGAGACAGCATAGCTGGCTAGTATGCTGGTCATCTGAGTGAAATACCCCACTGCTGTTACATTCCTGTTTACCACCAGCACGACTTCGCCCGCAGACGCCCCAGTCTAGTGTATAATAAAATCTTACACTATTCCGGTAACTGCTTTTAGTTTAATCGCTATCCTAACAACCTTCCTGGCATGTTAGGACCTGCAGGAACATTGGTTCCAGCCAGTGCAGCTTGTTGGGTCATCGCGATGTGCAAACATGGCACCAGTCAATGAAATCTACAACAGTTAGTTTGAGCCACGTTGAAAGGTGTGGGATCCACTAATTCGGAAGAATGATTGGCTTTATGCTGAATATAGCCTGATGATGATGATGATGATGATGATGATGATAGTTGCGAATAACTTCACCCCTCGTCGTCGTCTGTGTGAATAGCAGTGCCTGACATGACCAGTCATTGTATTACTGGCATTAAAATAACGACACTTCTGTTTGGGACTCCTTCTAACCCCTCCTCTCCTACTTCGGCGATTCGTTTTTCGTCTAATAAGTATACTGTTTCGTCTGTATGAATGACTACACCAACTCCTCCAAGTACACACAAGTAATTTTATTGATCCTTTGTTAGACAATATTCCTACAGTACTGTGGTGATACCACTGCATTGTTGACGCTTCAGCATTCTCTGTTTCCTCAGTTGTAGCAAATACTGGTCTATCTCAGTAGCCAGTTGTGGCATATATTCAACATTTTACTAAGGCAGAGAGTTTCGATTTCACGAGGAAATTATCTAAAATATCGCCATAACGTACGACTTACCAACTCTTACAGACTACTTCCTGTTATGACAGTGGTGATTGCATCTGAATGCGCATAGTGATCAATAAATAGCCCGGCAATACACTTCTGAAAAGTCATTATCCCCCCTCCCCAAACACCACCACATATCCATGTTTTAGTCCACCCTATGATGAACCCATTTTCCACACAAAAGTCAAAAATCCAAAGCTTAGGTGGGTAAAGCTTGCAACGAAGATTATATTGGACGCTCGCATCGCATCCATGGCGAGCGATTTGATTGGTTAGTTCAAGGTCGTTTGACTTTGGTGCCTACACAGTAGTCATTTACCGACAGTTATGTGTGATGCTGATACTTTCAGTTACCACCTCATTTAGGCGGTAATTTTGTGTACTAGTTTGTGTTATTCTTGCTGTTGTTTTCGTTTTTGAGGCTATTAATGAGTTTTCAATTAATTCATTAATTAGTTTACTTATTTATTTATTTCCGTTTTTCTCAGAGGTCATTTAACACAAAAAATATATATATGTACATAATCTTTGTTTATATTTGAGGCTATACGCAATTAGTATTGTCTTAGCTACTTTTATTATTAGTGAATGCCATTTTTGGTGTGTGTATATACTTATACATTGTATACACTTCAATGCATAAAAACATTGGCATTATTTATTTATGATATAAAAGTACTTTGTACTTTAGCTGGACACGGTGTTTTAACGCCGTAAACTTATGCGACGTTAGCTTGTCTAACCGTTGTGTCTCTCTCTCCCCCGCGCGTGCGCGAGCGCCCTCTTAAGTTATGAATTAGTATGCTAAGAATCTGTGTTATCATCTTCTCTGAACACTTATCCTCTTTGAATAAGCCATTTGGAAGACAAATTTCGCGAGATGACATCGTCATTTTGGTGGTTTTTTCCGAGTGACTTCCGAACTAAAATCGAATAAAAAAAACTCGGTTTCTGTGGATATTACTATGATTAGAAGAGATGATGGAATGATTCAGTGATCTATATTTCGTAAACAGACATGGAGTGAAGAATATCTTCATTTCACCTCTGTCTGTCTGTCTGTCTGGATTCAACATAGACCTTGCCGCCGAAGTGCACCACTTCGAGTTGCCACGTTCCAAACAGAACACACAAAGGTAGACAAGAAGATGATGGGTGAAGAGAATCAATAGAGTTTGACAAGTATATGAGTGAAACACAGAATGGGTAATGGTAGAAAGGAATATGAAAGATTACAGAGATTGAATACTATATCTGCGCTAGCCATTGACAACGATTTTGAGCTATGTCACACCTATTGTCTCTAGCCATTCATTCTTAGAAGTCTGGATCTCCCCACCTGACTCAGTTTAACTGTCAAGGATTTCATGGATTGATGACATGTTTTTGTTTGGCCATCACTTACTCTTTTCTAACCTGTACCTCTGTATCAGCTAGTAATACCCGTCGGTAGGGCGGGCGATGGTTAGGCATGCGCAGCACGTGAGATATCCATCTCAATCTATGTAACTTTATAGCCTCGTCGATTGATTTTCCCTACGCCTAACGTCAACATTACTTACTAGCTTGTTATACCACCTAACGTGAGAAAGAGATCGTAGACATCTATGATCAAAAATAACAGTCAACCTTTTCATGTCTTCAACTCGTATTGGCCATGTTTCAGAGCCATATAGAGAAGGACGGAGGAAACTGATGAGCAGTACACACGTTTCTTGGTTGGTAACCGGATGTCATGAGCCAACGCCAGAGATGGTGTAATTCAGCGAAAGCAGCTCGAGCTTTTTGGATCCGTGGTGAGATTTCGTCGCCAATCAGTCCGTTGGTGCTGATACAACTTCTCAAATAGATGAAGTGGTTACAAGATGTCCTATCACTTCACTCCCTATCACTAAGCTAGGTAGGAGTTGACGTAGTCCGTTGGTGTAGCAGCATCTTACATTTTACAGGGGTGAATCGCATTCCAAACATACTAAGAATGCTGCTCAAGGTGTTCAGAAGACTCTGCTAGATTTTGTCAGCATCCTCCCCTAACAGGACCTTCATTTCACCAGTTTTGTTTCTATCCAGTATAAACGTTCCCGAGTGCGTGAAATGTTTACTCTCAAGGGTCAGAAAAATATGCACGAGTGACACATTGATGGATGAGTGTCGACATATACATTCAGTTTTATTAGCTAATGGTTATCACTTGTCACAGTAAAGAAAAACCACATTTCGAAAAGACAGCTTCTGTACCAAAGAAAGCTATCTTTATCAACGTACCATTCAAGAGTGATCAAATTACGTCGTTGACAGCTAGCTAAAAGACTTTGGTTAGTCATCAAACGCACATTCTATGCCGCATCTCTTTCCCTCACATCTCGAATATTTTCGATCCCCTCTACCTACGATTAAAGGACGAAATTCTGTGGACTCTGCTTCAAACTGTATATACAAGTTCACCTGCAGTTGTTGCGGTGACACCTATATAGGTAGAACCAATAGAATGTTCCAATGCCGTGGTCGAAAAGAACATGTTGCAAAATGCCTACTAAATCATATAGAAAATCCCGATGTGATTAATCTGAACCGAAATCCATCATCATCCATTGCAAAGCACTTATTAATATCAGGTCACAAAATCAATATTAATGACTGTTTCACAATTATTTCATCACATAACTCTAATTCAAAGTTGGCTATTGAAGGTGATGGAAGCACTTTGGGGGATTATTCACATACAGCCTAAACTGTATGTACAAAAAACAATAAACTTCAATCTTTGCCTACCATGAACTGACTACTTGATCTATTTAAAAGTGATGATTGGTCATTAGTATGTACTTTTGTTTTTTTATATAACTGAGCAATTGTCATAAACAAATAAAGTATAATTATATTTCAATAGTTTACACACATTGATAAGTTTTGTTATTGGTAATATTTCGAGCAAAATTACTGTCTGTGTTCACGCCACTGTTGGAATTGTCATGAACTTCATCTTATTATTGTTAACCATGTTAGTTGTAAAACGGTTTTAAAGAAACTGTGAAATGACGATATCATCTCGCGGCGAAATTTGTCTTCTTAATGCCTTACTTATTCAAATTTATCAAAGGGACTAATTGTTTTAACCTATCCTCTTTATATTTCTAATACTAAATGTGTGCAAACAACCTTAGGCAAAAAAAGCTTAGTCAATATTTATGCATTTCGTTTTCATTCTGTCGGCTGTTGGGTCAGGGGAGAGGAGAGAAGGGAGTTCGTTATAATTTCCACGATGATATGGAATTGTGTGGTGTAGTGTAGTGTAGTGCGGCGTTGTCAACGACGCTGTGAAAGCTCTACGGTTGTGTAATCTATTTCATAAGTTATACAGTAATGCCAAACCTAAACATGGCTTCATCAGTTCAATGAAATTCACAACAGTTAGTTTAAGCCAACCAGTCACGTAGACTGTCTGCCTACCTGGTTGAGGTTCTCGGGACGGTAAAAACCAAATGTGAAGACTGGAGACAATTGGTGATATGGCTCAAAATTATCGCTTTGTGTCAATGCCTCGCACAGATGCATCTACTCCTTGTAACTTATCATATCCAATAAAATTATTATATGGTTCTTCTATATTACTTACTATTCTTTTTGCCTCATTTCTCTGTTTATTATTATCGCTGTTTTGAATCGCTTTTTTTTACTTTCTTCTCTTGCTTTGTGTGTGGCTACATTGGAGGGGGGAGTGTGGCAACTGGAACTGCTGCATACATCGGTGCAAAGTTCTCTATGTTGAAACCAGTCTGATTTTGAATCAAGAGCACACATACACGCTAGAATAATAAGGGAGAAAATGGCCTGTGAATATATTT